GTGTTGCCCGAGTTCTCTCAGGGTCTCTTGTGCTATCAGAAAAACCATATAACATATCTTTATGTGAGTTTTTCATTTTATATCTTGGGTAGGGAGGGGGGAAATGGAGGAACTTACAAAGAAATGAAAACCCGACACCCGGCACCCAGCTCTGCATGGCTTGGCCCACCGTTCCAGATCGTTTCTGCACCCGCCCATAGTCTCCGTTAACTTTTGCCCACGCATCTTGGGCCCGTGCTTCCTCTAGGACAGCCACACCTTCTTAAACCTCCCAAAACAATGCCATCGTCTGGAGACAAAATGTCCAAATACTTGGAGCCTATGGGGGACATTTTAATTCAAACCCATCACAATGACTATTGTCCAATTGGTATTGAGGTCAGATTTGGGTTATGAGTCAAAGGATGGTGGTGTTCCTGAGGGTTCCTAATTGGAAGGCTTTAAGTTTTGATCTCAGGCAGGCCAAGTGGGGGGTCCTTAGGAATCCACAATTTTTCAGGACAGGGTAAGGTAAGAAGAGACGGTCTTGTCATCTAGGGTTGGAGGAGAGTTGTGGAGTGTCCCGATGTTCACCTTGTGAAGATTTGGGAAATGAGGCAAAGGTTGAAAGTGGGGACTCCCAGAGTCCCAAGTGGGGCCAAGATCTGGGGAACCTCAAGATCAGGGCTGTTCTTACCTTACCCAGATACATGGTGTGTGAGTGTATCAGGGAAACAGATGTCGAGGAGCCTCTGATATGGAAGTCAGATAGATAGATGCAGGGAAGAGAGAGGGAAGCTGTGAGAGGAAAGAGAACCCAAACTGGGTCTATGTGTGTTGCCCGAGTTCTCTCAGGGTCTCTTGTGCTATCAGACAAACCATATAACATATCTTTATGTGAGTTTTTCATTTTATATCTTGGGTAGGGAGGGGGGAAATGGAGGAACTTACAAAGAAATGAAAACCCGACACCCGGCACCCAGCTCTGCATGGCTTGGCCCACCGTTCCAGATCGTTTCTGCACCCGCCCATAGTCTCCGTTAACTTTTGCCCACGCATCTTGGGCCCGCAGTCTTGCCCCTGGTCAGTAAATGCCTCCTCTTGTATCCACACGGGTGAGACAATTCTATGGAATCTGATGCCCTCTTCTGGCTTCCACAGGCACTGCACACATGTACACTTTACATGCAGGTAAAACACTCATACATATGAAATAAATAACTACAATAAATCCACAGGTCACTGAAGTTTTATACAAATAACTAGAATTATCTTCCCTTTGCTAGAAAACACTGAGATTTTTGGGTTTTGTTGATGTTGTTTTGATGTTTCTTTTTTGTTTAGGGATTTTTTGGGTCTTTTTTGAGACAGGGTCTCCCTGTAGCTCCAACTGTCCTGGAACTCACTATGTAGACCAGACTGGCCTTGAACTCACAGAGATCCTCCTGCCTCTGCCTCCTGAGTGCTGGGATTAAAGGCATGTGCCACCACGTCCGATGTTAGAGGCAAATATTTTAATATTTTTATTGTAAAGCTAGATCCCCTGTGGACTGTTATATTTAGGTTGTAGTTGTCATAAATAGTAGAATGGTGCAATATATGTACTGTATCTATTTGTCTATATGCATGTCCACATGGGAGGCCATAGGTTCACATCAGGTGCCTTCCTCAATTGCTTCTCCGCCTTATTTTTTTGAGACAGGGTTACTCACGGAGCCTGGAACTCACTGATTGTCTAGACTGGCTGCCAACAAGCCCTAGGGATCCTTCTGTTTCTGCCTTCACAGGGGTGGGATTATAGATCCATGAGCCCTGGACTTTTTGTGTGAGTACTGGGATCTGAAATCCAGTCCTCATGATTGCTTAGCAAGCATTCTACCCACTAAGCCTTCTCCCGAGACCTAGGGGAATTAAAAAAAAACGATGTAGATCTCTAATATCAACCACAAAATTCCATGAAAGGAGTTCAGGAAGTGACCTTAAAGCACACTTCAACAGCAGCTGGGTACCCGTCTCAATATGGGCACTGGGCAGTGATAATTTGCTCAGCAATCCACTAAGCAGCTCTCAAATTTGGTTCTTTTATCTATGTAATATGTAATACTGAAATGAATTTGAAGTTTCTTGAGCCTCAAACTCTTTCAGCTGTAAAAGTAAATAAACACGGCTGGATGTATTGATTAGCTGTGATGATCTATATGGTATTTCCCTCACAAGCAAATGGGATCTATATGGTATTTCCCTCACAAATTCCTGGCAAATGGGACTCAGTCTGCCTGTGCCAGCTATAATAAACACCATCATTTTTTTTTATTTTGCTTTTTTGAGACAGAGTCTCCCTGTAGCTCCTGCTGGCCTGGAACTCACTATGTACACCTCGCTGGCCTCCAACTCACAGAGATCAGCCTGCCTCTGCCTCTCCAAACACCATCATTTTCAATGTATGAAATCCAGCAACCCTTGAAGTTGTGACTGACAAATAAAAAAGTTGTGTTTTACTAGGACAAACAAAACAAAACCAAAACCACAACAGTACAATGACTTGATTGAATCATATACAAAATGTAGGTCCAATACTGACTTCTTTTGCTGCTATTTGAATCTTTCAATTTTCCAGCTCTCAAAAATCTACGGTCCTGTGTTCACTCTGTATTTTGGCATGAGACCCACTGTGGTGTTGCATGGTTATGAAGCAGTGAAGGAAGCCCTTGTTGATATAGGAGAGGAGTTTTCTGGAAGAGGCAGTTTCCCACTGACTAAAAGAATTAACAAAGGATTTGGTAAATGTTCATGTGCCATATGTATGTGTGTGCATGTGTGGGTTGGGCCATGGTACTGGGCCTGAGACTTGGAGAGTTCTTCAGGCATCCCTACCATCCAAGTGACTCCCATGAAGCAGTGAAGGAAGCCCTTGTTGATATAGGAGAGGAGTTTTCTGGAAGAGGCAGTTTCCCACTGACTAAAAGAATTAACAAAGGATTTGGTAAATGTTCATGTGCCATATGTATGTGTGTGCATGTGTGGGTTGGGCCATGGTACTGGGCCTGAGACTTGGAGAGTTCTTCAGGCATCCCTACCATCCAAGTGACTCCCATGTGCCAGTTTCTTGTTTCCTGTCTGGGGGCTCCTTAGTTTCCTTTTTTTTAAAAAAATATTTTATTTATTATGTTTATTTTATGTGTATGAGTGTATTGCCTGTATGCATGTAAGTGCACCCATGTGGTGCAATACCCCTGGAGGACAGAAGAGGGCGTTGGATCCCCTGGAACTGGATTTAGGGACAGTTGTTAGCCATTATATGGGTGCTGGAATTCAAATCCAGGTCCTCTGCAAGAACAGCCAGTGTTCTTAACTGCTGAGCCATCTCTCCAGGCCCAGAGGGAAGCTTTTCTTGAGAAAAGAAGACAGAGCAGGAAGCCATTGAAATCACTACATCCAGGACTTGGGTGCACAAGCCTAAGCAAGGACAAGAGCGTTTAAGACATTAACAAGTGTGTTGTACGACATCTCATACCTATGTGAAGACCATACATGGCAGACCGTAAGATTCCTTCCTGAGCCAGGAGAGCCAATTCACAGCTTTGATTCTGAGACAGGATCTCAAGTTCATTCTGTCCACTCTTGCTCCTGATCAGGAACACCACCTCGTCCAAAGAGCCTGCTCTGGTCTCATCTCCCTTTCCAGGCCAGATTGGTCACTGGCTACTCTGTTCTCTGACCCTACACATGCTTTGAGAACTGCAGTGTTTCCTGGGGGTGTATGTAAAGGTTCCTCACTGAGAGGTACCGGTTAACTGTTTTCACATGGTTGTTGTGGGAAGGAGTTGGTTGTAAGGTAGTAATGTGGCTCAAAAGTCAGAAGGCTGGACAGCTAGAGCTGTGTGTGTGCATGTGTGTGCGTGTGTGTGTGTGTTATTGCCTCTCCACTTTTTTTGTGACAGGGTCTCTGTGATGATTAGCTTTGATTGTCAACTCAAAACAGTCTAAATCACCTGGAAAGCATGTCTCGATGGATTGCCTAGATCAGGCTGGCCTGTGTACAGCAGGCGGGAACTTGTTTTGACTATTCAGCCTACCATAGGTGGCTCCATTCCCTAGGCAGGGGTTCCTGGCCTGTATAGATACGGAGACGGTGTCGAGCATACGCATGCGTTCATTCTGTCTCTGTTCCTGACTATGGATGTGACCAGTTCCTGCCTTGACTTCTCCTCAGTGGTGGATTCCAAACTGGAATTGTAAGCCAGATAAACCCTTCCGCCTTGAGATTGTGTTTGTCAGGTTATTTTATCACAGCAGCAGATATGAAACTAGAACAGTCTCTCACTGGCCTGAAACTCATCAGGTAGGCTAGGCTGGCTGGTGAGCAAGTGGCGAGATGACCCTGTTTCCACACCCCTCTCCCCATCCCCAAGCAGTGGGGTTACTGACTGAGCCATCTCCCCAGCCTACAACTAGAGCTGGCTCATTAACCGTCACTGTTGGGATACATCATTTATTTGGTCTTTTTGAGACAAGGTCTCCCCGTAGCCCCAGCTGACCTGGAACTTGCTATGTAGACCAGGCTGGCCTTGCCAGATCTACCTGCCTCTGCCTCCTAAGTGCTGGGATTAAAGGCATGCATGCCCTGCTCCGTTTTACAGTTTTAAAAGAAAACTTACAGTACATCATAGTCATCTAAATTATAAAAAGGAAGTTATAAATTGATTTATTGCCCTAACTTCAGCTATTTTTAACTCTAGTCCAATTTCCCTAATTGCAAGTTAGCTCAATATTCAGCTTTTCTTGCATTATCCTCTCTTTATTTGTGTATTAACTGTGATTTTTATTTTCTGTCTATTATGACACTTTGACATCTTGACTGGCTCTCCCAGGCCTAGGTAACTGCTTTCAGTAGCAAGTGTTTTCTCTGTAACATGCTTTTAACATACAAACCAGCCTATCTCTAGCCTATACCCCGTCCTAGTTTGTTTCTTCATTGCTGTGACAAAGCAATCTGACCACTACCAACTTGGGGAGGAAAAGGTTTGTCTTACATCTCTCGGGTCATAGTTCATCAGGGAGCCCAAGGTAGGAACTCAGGGCAGGAACCTGGAGGCAGGAGCTGGAGCACAGGCCATGGATGAATGCTTTGTACTGGCTTCTCCCCTAGCCCAGCCTGCTTTCTTATGCAACACAGGCCCACCTGCTCAGGGGTGGTACCACCCACAGTGTGTTGGGCCCTCCCATAGACATGGCCACAGGCCAGTCCTATGGAGGCAGTTCCCCAGTTGAGGGTCCCTCAACCCAGGTGTGTCAAGTTGACACTGAATCTATCCAGCACAACCCCAACCACCTTTATTTCATTTGCACACACCAAGCCAATATTCTTGCTGACAATCGACCTAGGAGGGCCAGGTGTGGTCCAATTAGTGACCCTTTGCACCCAAGTACTAGCAGCCTCTGCAGTTAGTCAAGCTTTCCAGTCCCAAGCTCACTTAGTGTATGTATCCTGCCTCATTTATTTCTTTCATACAAACTCCAATAAAAGGCCTGGTCTCTGCTTTCCCTTTGGTCCTTTTGCCTTCAGGCCCTCTGCCATGCTTCTTTGTGCCCTGTCCAGACCATTGTGGAGTGGACAGCCCCATCAATGGGAAGTGTTAACATCTTTCCTAGAACAAACTATTTAAGGACAACTTGATCTGTAGACCTCACCATACCTGAATAAAAAAAAAACCTTGGTGAATTTTCAATTGGAGTTTGAATTAGAACATTGATGGTAATTTTTTTACCTCCCCTTTACTCTTGGCTTCACCTATTTATCAAGTATTTACTACAATAAGTTTGATTTTCATTTGGATTTCAAATGACCTCTCTTCTAAATGAAGTGAGAGGTAATATTGAGAGTCAGATTTTCACCATTAATAAATGTTCAAATTAATAAATTGAAATGATCACCTGTCTCTGAGGCTAAAACGTAAAATTCTGAATACTCAGTACTCTGCTGTATCATAGAAATGGAGTCAGGTCAAGCATAGTTAATCATGAAAGAGGCTTCTCTTGTAAAATTCCTTATGATTTGTGCATAATCCTTTTAAAATTGAAAATAACTGTACATATTTATGGAGGCCAATTGACACATGCATATAATGATGACATCATAGCAACTGACATTTTTCATCTCTTTAAACATTTATCAGTTCTTTTTGTTTGGAGAATTAGAACTCTCTTCTAATTATTAAAAAAACTTGTTTATCTATTTATTTTTATTTTTATATGTGTGAGTGCTTTGCCTGCATGTATGTAAGTGTACCACATGCATGCAATGCCTGGGGATACCAGAAGAGGGTAGTGGATCCCCTAACGTTGGAGTTACAGATAGTGATTAGTTGCCATGTAGGTGCTGGGAACTGAACCCAGGTCCTCTGCAGGAGCAACCAGTGCTCTTAACCACTGAGCAATGTCTCCAGGCTCTCTTCTAGTTCTTTATAAAGTATGAAATGAATCCATTTAAATACTGCACTGTAGAAAACTGCATTTTGTTATCTGTTATCCAGCCTCAGTATCCTCCTTCCTAACTACGCTTCTTAACCTCTAGTAAACACTATATACATGTTTTTCTATAAGATGAACTTTTTTGATTTTTTCCACATATGAATGAGAACACAAAGAGTTTGTTTATCTGTGCCTCGTTTATTTCACTTAGCATAGTGTCCTCCAGATCTTCCTGTTGTAATGTAAAGGACAAGATTTCATTCTTTTCTCATGGTTGAATAATATTCGACTGTATGTATACATCACAGTTACTTTGCCCATTCCTCTACATGTGCATAACTCTACTGGGAACGGTATGCACAGTGCTTTTTAACTGTCAACCTAAATTACATGTGATGTGAATTTGTGTGCTTTTCACATTAAAAAATTAATAATATTCCATTAGAACAGTTTTGCTTAAAATTACTTACAAAATATCTACTCTGCTTCAGTTTGCTTTCTGTAAAGTGATGAAATTGACCAGAATGATGAGCAAGTTAAAACATTTATGGGGGCTGGACAGAAGGCTCAGTGATTAAGAGCACCCCTGCTCTTCTAGACCTGGGTTTGGTTCCCACCACCCACATGGTGGCTAACAACCATCTGTAACTCCAGTTCCACGGGGTCTGACACCCTCTTCTGACCTCTGTGGTCACTGCACAACACAGGTGCACTTACATACATGCAGCCAATACACACATACATATTAAAAAAATAAAATATTTTAAAAATTGCAACAGAAATTCTGATGGCTTCATAAAGCAGTAACTCAGACTTCCACTAGAGGGCAGGCTCTGTCTTCGTAAGTGTGGGATCTGATGGGTGATGAGAAATATTTCCTAGAGCCGGACATTTTTTTTCTTTTTTCTTTTTCTTTTTTTTCCCTTTTGAGACAGGGTCTCACTATGTAGCCCTGGCTGGCCTTAGAGATTTACCTGCTTTTACCTCCCAAGTACTGGGATTAAAGAAGTGCACCACCATGCCTGGCTTATTTTCCTTTTCATCATTGAAATAAGAAGTAAGGGACTCTGGCAATCAACTTAAACCTTTTATGTTTGACATATAAAAATTAGAAGTTAAGATTTTTGTGATTTAACTTTTATTTTAGGCAAACAAACCAAATAATGTATTCATTTTTGCTTTTTCTAATAATGTGTTTTCATTTTTACTTTTTCTACAGTATTGAAGATTGAATCTAGGGTCTTGCACCAGCCAGACAACTACACCTCCAATAAGCTATCTCTCTCTCTCTCTCTCTCTCTCTGATTTTCCTTTTTATTTTGAGATGGGGTCTCTATAACTTACCCATGAGTCTCTTGAACTCTTTGTAACCTAAGCAGGCTTTGAACTCATAACCCTCTTGCCTCAGTCTCCTGAATAGCAAGGATTACAGCCTTGTGTATCGAGGCCCAGATTATTAATTTTTTGAGATTTATTTATTTTGTATGCTTGAATGTTTTCTCTGAACACATATACATACACACATGCATACACACACATGTGTGTGTGTGTGTGTGTGTGTGTGTGTGTGCATCTGTGTGTATACCACATGTGCACCTGGTGCCTGTGGAGGCCAGAAAAGGCCATAGAGTACCTAGAAGTGGTTATAGAAGTTTGTTAGCCACTATGTGGACCCTGGGAACATAACTAAGGTCCTCTGAAATAGCAACAAAGGCTCTTAACTGCTGAGCCATCTCTCCAGCCCCTATTTTTGATTACTTTAAAAAATATAATGTGCAGGGGCTGGAGAGATGGCTCAGCAGTTAAGAACACTGATTGTTCTTGCAGAAGACCCAGGTTCGAATCCCAGCACCCACATGGCAGCAAACA